AATCTCAACAAAATTACTTTAGAATAATGCTTGACATACCCGGTTTGTTTAATAGTAATTTATGAAAATAATGCAATTCTTATGGAGTCATCAATCATGTGGTTAAGACATAATTGCTGGTAAACCTTTAAAATTGTTATTATTGTATGAATATTATGATTGTGTAGATATTGTTTTTTTGAGCTAAAATTCATTCAATTAATGTCTGGATAATATGTTTTATAATATTATAATATTATACTTATCAAATGCTGGAAGAAAGTGTGTTTTGATTAGGGATCAAATTCTGCCTCGTCTTTCCCAGGAATCTTTTAAATGATCTACAGGGACACACTCTACAAACAGGGCTTCATCTCAAAGTATTCCCAGGCCAGATCCAATGAACAGAGAGCAGTGTAGCTGTTAATAAGGGTATTCATCATGAGACTGACTATTTTTGGCGTTGTCTATGACAGTCTCAGTAACTTACAATTGTCCTGTGAATATGAACTTATCATTTAATTACACACTGAGAGACTGCCTTCCATTACAACCTGCAAGTTAGTTAAGCTCACAGCAATTCTCCAACCAATCAAAATATGATTGGATCAGTCTCAGACAGCAATAGACTTACTATTTCCGAAAGATCTTTTACATTGTCAATTCATTTGTCCTATTTTAACATGACTGTTTAAAACGTAGTTAATGCTATAGATCTGCCAGACATTAAGCAATATATCATTAAACCACCTCCTACTCGAATCCCTACGAGTGTTTCCAACACAAACATGATTTCCACAATCCTGTAAATACAAGAATGCTATTATTAAAACAAAAAATAAAAATATTATAAACTTCAAAGAATACAATTTCCTCCAAAAAGTATCATTTTTGTCCATCTTAATTCTATAATTTTAAAATCAGTTGGTAAATTTCCTGTAATGTTTTCAAAGAAATACAAAAATAAAACTAAATTTTATACAAATGGTCCATCTTAACTATTGCAGTTTACATTAATTAAAAGTCTGGTTGTTTCATTGCTCGTCTGGATTGAAATATCCTTCACAATATCAATTTAATTGATAGCTAATCAGCAATGCTAAAGAACACATTGATAAAATCCAATATATTTATTCTTTCCTCCAATTTTCTCCTGATGCTCTCCAAGACATTATCTTCATGTTTCTGTATAATTCAGATGTTGTGTGTTCTCCAGTACCTTGCCCAACTGACTATTATTTATCTCTGAGCCTAGATGTGAGCACTAGCAACTAAAAGGGCAGTGGAGGGTGTGACAGCCAAACTCCATCCTGATGTTCACATCCATTCACTTCTACCGTATAGTGATCAGAAGTGTGAACCCGAGCTAATTTGTTTCCTCCCTAACCTATAGACACTAAAGCAACCTTACCTCTTCCTGGGGGAGTAATCCACTGTTTAGCACACATCAAATCTGCATCTTTCTGCTGCACGTGATTTAACTACTACCACTAAAGACCTGCCAAGCCAAAGGTTGATATTTTAAACCTTTCTATTTTGAATATTCCAAAAACAAGATTTTTGGAGGAATAATTTATCACAATTTTTATCCGAATGGTGGAAATGATGCTTTTGGAGAAACATAAAAATTCAATTGCATTTGGTTTGTTTAGGTTTGGTGAAATTTACTCAAGCTGCAATTGTCAAAAATCCCATTTTTTTCTTTGATGTTCCTTTCCCCAACTTTTAATTTCACTGATTCAAATCTGTGTAACAATAAAGTGCAGCTAATCAGCCCTACATTTCAAATGTTCCCATTCTATCATCTCATGTCCAATTAACACTATGCAGCTTTCTGTCATGATGCACTGCAAGCTGTCTAGGTGACTTTTAGGAAGACATCATACTGAAGACAGATTTTAAAACGTATAAAGAAAAACAGTATACACTTACTGTACTATTGTCAGCTTAAGTCTTTAGCAGCATAACATGCAATAAATATTCACACATAATATACTGATATAATATACTGTACATACATTTTATATATATGGGCATGTATATAAAAAATAAACTTAGCATAAGCTAAGCATTGCAAACTCCCCTCTATTTGCGGGGTTATGTTGATATACCGAAGATTCTATATGAGGTAGGTCTGTGCCTCTTGAGTGCCTAGTAAATATGTCTGTGTACTTATAACATACCTTTTAAAAAAAATAGTGAGTGAGGCTTTCATCAACGTGAATGCAGCAAAACATCTCGTTAGCCAAGTCAAACTATATTTTTTAGCCTAAAAATCGGATGGCCTGCTGAGAACCAAGGCCTCAAACCATGTGTTGCTGGGAATGTGATATTTCGAAAAGTCCCATAACTAGTTTGGGAGGCTGCTTTTGATTTTAATGCAGCTGCTGACTAATTCGCCAAACATACTTAGCAGAGCTGTGCACCAGCACAATCTCGCAAAATGAGGTCAATAGTAAAAGCTTGCACAAAAACACAGGGAGGGGAAAAAAGTAGATTCTCACTTCAGTGTGCAGATTGTGGGAAAAGTTCAAGCAGGCAACAAAGAGGGAAAAGAGACATCGGTGCACCCTGTTTTTAATTCCACTTTCTTCACATCTATATTCTGTCAAAATAGCCTTTCAAACAAGTCTGATTGGGATCTGGCTCATCACACTGTCACCAACTCACTTTTCATTAGACTGTTACTCTCTGTTAGCCTAGCCAAGCAGAAGAACTCAAACACATGCGCAAATTAAATCGACATCCAAACTCCTCCAATATACAAAGCAATTTAAATGATATTCATTAGAGCGATGACAAGTCCTGATGAGGCTTTCAGGAGCTGAGTCCTTCAGCTTTAGCAGACTCGGTTTCATGGCCACTGAGGCGTAACCAAGGCGACTGTACCTCCAGAAAAGCTGACAATTTTACTGTGCTTCCTGACACACCTTCCAATGCTGCGTTCGGTACTTGGCCGCAGATTTAAAGCAAGCACTTTAGCACACTCCAAAAATAAGATGTTTCTGCCCCAAATCTTATTGTATTGTTAGAAACACAATACTATGTTTTCTTTAAGTACCAAAGGAATAACTTCGGATCTTTGCCTGGCGGTAGAATGCTATTGTTGACATTTAGTTAAATTTGACTTAACATGGCTGCACTGCAAACTATTGAAAAGTGCTAATCTTGTTGGCAATGACATTTCAACCAGGAAAGACAACATTTTACAAAAAACATGCACTAAATAATCCAGGAAAATTAACATTGTCAAGGATTTTAGTCTCACCGAGCACACTTTCTGGCAAAAATTTACAAAATGCAAATAGTATTGTTTAAAAATGCACTGGTTCATAAAATACGTTATTCTTGGGGAGGGGAAAAAAAATTGCTGAGAGGCTGCTGTAAAAAACATAAATCGTTCTCTCAAAACATGATGTTCGATATGTAACAGGAACAAAAAAAAGCCATAGCTGAGCAGATATGACTGTTCTGACCTGTACTGCTTCAGCCATGCAGATTACATTATACCAGAACAAGACTAAGCAACCGCTCTGACCTCATTTATTCTCTATGAAAAGTATATACAATAAGAGAACAGTATTGGACTGTATATGTTGATGACCCAACCAACAATGTACTAATCGTTCAGTCTTTCCCCGTCTCTCCTCTCTACCCCATTAATTGCAATTCACAGAGTGAAGTATCACTTCTTTCAACTGATGCTGCCTCTGCACGGTGACCTCTTGCACAAACGCATTGAGCTCTCAGCTCGTGACAATGAGAGGGTAATCACACTTAATAGTTTAAATGTCATTTTAGCAGCAAATGCCCCTTTCTTCGAGGTCAGGCGGGTGGCTGGGGACATAACTTGAATCAAAGTCCCAGGAGAGGCCACATTACCAGTACTTTTTAGTTAAACAGAATTATCCATACATTCAGATCTCCCTGAGGATTTAATGGTCAGCATTCATATTGACTAATGCATAAGTGATCCAGAAAGTGTAGTATAATCAGTACGGTACACGCCTGTATGTCCACGTTTCATTCTGTACAGTCACTGGGTTTTCTGAAGCATGTCAGGACCCTCAGTGTCGTTTAACTCTTTGATAGCTGCTGCAAGGTTATCCGAACTCCATCTTATCCAGAACGAGCATAGCTGTCTCCTGAGCGGTTCAGATAAATGGAGCTGTTCTTGAACAGCAGTCAGCTTTTACATTAAAAGATATACTCGAGAATTAATAATTAATATTCAGTGCACAAAACCTCATTAAGAGCATTCAAATTTAATCCGGCCTTGTGTAATAGTAAGAATGCAAACTACCCACTGAAATGACACATTTATGCAATTTTTTTTCTTAGCAATCATAATGTTTTGTACATTCGTGGTTAATAACTCAACTCAGTGAAAATGTAGATTTTTCCCAACTTGCGGTGTGTAGCTAACCCACAACACCAGGATACGTAGTTCCACTGAGTAATCCCCCCTTGACCTGCACTCGGCCCCTGTGAATCTGCTGGTTATTTAGTGGACGTCCTCCATGGGTGTGGAATAACTAGATAATAGCAGATTATCAGCAATGTCATACGGGCTTTCTTCAGAGGTGAGAAAGGCTGCAGAGCTCACAAATGCCACAGGCAAGAGTTAATTATAGCAGTCCTTTGTTTACAACTGAGATGAAAGAATTTCAGGCCTCAGAACATCTATTGTTCTCTTGTTATGTACGCAGCTATTTTTACATGCTTCTGATATTTTTCCTTTTATATTCATAAGATAAAGATATCAAGAGGTAGCAATATCTTCACTCCAGCAAAGATATAATCACGCTGTGTAAATATAAATGTTATCATTATCTGATTTCATGGATAGTCGGTGTGTGGGAATATATATTTTATATATAAAAATATATATGCACACATACATACACGCGCAACAATAAATTGTCTTGAAACACAGGCAATACAGTAACCATTGCTCAGACATGTTGATATATTTGTTTAAACTTGATCTTTGAGGGTATGGAACTCCTGTGGTGATTTTGTAACATGTATATTTATTTTATTGTATCCTGTTACATTCATACACTGTTTTTGTTGCAGTGGTCCAGAGTGCTTTCATACAATAATTGATTATGTTAACATATAAAATATTTTTTCAGTAGAAAAAGATGTTGACATTGTAACAAAATTTAAATAAAACAATTTTTTAAAGGAAAATAAAAAGACAGTGCTAACTTTACATGGAATTGGAATTGTAACTACTTTCTGCATTTAATACGCTAACTGCAGATACTGCACCTGTTTTACGTATTTGAGAACGGGACAGGAAAACCGAGAGATCATGTATTAAAATTTTCAAATATATAAATTAACCAAAGTTCACTTCCGAACATGTACAACAGATATGCACGAGGTGTGTTTATCCACTGTGTAGTCTTGTATTAAACCATGGAAAGCAGGTGACAATTGGAAATCCATTTTAAAGTCCAGCAAATACAAAAATGGGTATTGAAATGTTTTAACCCTTTCTCCCTGCTGAATGAACGGGCGCAACAAATGCTGTGAGCAGCGCTTGTAAGGGTAAATCTGGTTATGATAGCTGTCCATTATATACAGTGTTTTTTTTAAAAAAGGGAATAGTGAGGATTTCTCCGATGCTTCTTGAGTGAACACATCACGTAGCAAAACAGAGAGAAATTGATAAAAAGTAAACCTGGAGTTTCAGTCAGTCAGTCAGCTTCGTGGTTTCTCAACAAGTAACCATTCATTTTAAGTTAAAGTCATAGTCAAGCTTGATGGGTAATATTAATATTAGATTGGGCCCAATCTTCAAACATAATTCATGACCACTGTTATCTGTAGCTGGTATGCAGCGCCGGCAATGAGACAGTTGGCTGGGACAGAAGTCAAGAGCATTGAAAAGATCAATATGTACAGGACATAAAATATTATTACAAAAAAAGGAGGTTTCATGCACAAATGTTGGTAGTCTTGTTAATATTGTTTCTTCAAACAGATACCAATCCTTTATTAAGTCAGACTTTGGTTTACTATAACCACTCGGTGGCCACAGACGTCAGCTGTGCTCCTTGGTAGTTGTATTTTTTTTTGCTAATTTTACCTTAGCAGATAGCTCACTAAGCCATGGCATATTGATTTCTTGTTGTGAAGTGCACTGTTCAAGCTCCATTTAAGATTTTCATCTTGTATGTAGCCCTGAGCACATCATAGTGCCATAAATTAGGTAAATTGCACATTTATCACAAATGTTATTTTAAAATACTGTGTAAATGTGACGGTTAGAAGATATACAATGTGTCGGAACAAGCCGGCGCTTGGGTGGGGTTACAGCCAGGTCTCATCGCACACCTGTGAATTAAGGCCTTTCGAAAGGTGCTCACCTCTAAATTATCTCTCTGTAAGTGCTGCAGTTATCTGACAAATAATGCTTTCACTAACACCCTTCTCTTGACAGGTCCACAAGCCCACTCAAGCTCCAGCTTGAAATTATGTAATTCTCTGTGTTAATGTGCTCTTTACCTGCAGCACCTTGCATGTAGACGAGTGTGAAAGCAACGCAAAATTATTGGGAAACGTTTTAATGTTGCGTGCGGTGTGTGTGTGTTGAGTGTGTATGTGTTTTTTTTAAAAAAAAGTTTATATATGAAGAGTCCTAAATGGTGCTTCATATCCAGCAACGAAAGAGGGCACAGAATGCATTACAGTTACCTGTGCTGCTCACATGCCGATTTTATACATATATTCTTGTACGGTGTCAGCTGTCAGTTACTTTTGCAAATTAACTGAAAAAATGGAGATGCACAGACTCGCTCAGTGTGCTGGTAACCACGGGTTACCTTTTATATGCCAAAATATAAAGATGCGGCAAAGATTCATGGGAGAATAATTAGGCAGAACAAAACTTACCAATCAAAGGCATTCTGCACATGATGGTCATTAAAATAACAAGTGAGAGCACTCATAAATAAGTAAAAGGAGGTTACATCACGGAATGCCTTTTTACATTTGTAGCAGTATCTCATAGAACAAACATTTTGAAAGAATTTTTGTATATTACTGTTCAAAGAAATACAGTACAAGTTTTATTTTTTTCTAATTTTTCTTAACCCTTTGAGCATTGACAGTTTTTTTTGTTTTAACTTGAGCTCCGAAACTAGCAGTCGGTTTTCCGCGAAGTGGTAACTCTTTGACAAATCGAATTGTGCAAAATAAAAAAGAAAAACCCAACAACAACAACACCCGGCACAAGTATTCATGACAATGGAACTGAACGCAGACTCAGCTACAGATTGTTTTAACGATGCTTTTCGGTCCGTGAACTGACGGACGGTAGTAATAATAATAATAATAATATTTTTAATAATGCTGCCCAATTGGTGTGTTTGCAATTTTTAATGCAGAAGTGCTTCAGCAGTGCTCAGAGGGTTAAGGGTTAAGGGTTAAAGGCTGAGAAATACCAGCACACTTAAGTCACATGAGAAAGTGCACCAGGTTCAGTATTAAATGCTTAACTAAATTGTCCATTACGCATGCAGCTTAATGCATCTGAACGATGCAACAGCAACTAAATCCAATTTACACAAAATTCCAAACACTTACCATTTTTACCCTTGTAATCAACCAGTAACAACAGCTGATTACGTGCTTCCATTAAACACTGTACAGTTATATAAAAGAGTTCAGATCAGAGTGCTACTCTGCAGTAAATCAAGAACATGTGCCAAGAGTTGTTACAGTAGCTTTAAGGCTTCTTTTGTAGTTGTCCTCAAAGCAAATAACAGTTAGCTTTACTAAAGTAAATGCTACTGTTTCTCCAGCTCTATAACAAACAGAAGATGGTCCTCTGGTGACTTCCCATGTGTTTTGCTGAGATGCAGTTTAACTGCATGTTTACTGGCAAAAGTCCGATTGCAAAGTTTACACTGGAACGATGTCCCAGGCTCTTCCTCCTGTGCAGGTGACACCGATTTTTCCAAGGGCAGTTTTGCACGTGATATCTGGTTGCTTATCTGTTCGCTAGAAAGTTTTGACAAGTCTCGTAACCTGAAGCCTAAGTGTGATTCTAAGTGACTGATGTAGGTAGAAGGAGTTCTGATCTGCGAAGCACAATCATTACAAAAAAACACTGGATGACCAGAGTCCAGGTTTTTAAGAAATTTTGTTCCACCTGTCCTTCGAAGCTGGTACTTGACGTTGGCTAGCCAGTGGCTGATTGTTGTCATGGAGAGCCCTGTAAACCTGGAGATGTGCATTCTCTCCTGTGGGCTAAGGTCCGACATAATGAATTTCCCATCTGTGGTTTGTCGTAGGCTGGCTGCAAACTGGGCCTGCAATATGAGCAAATGCTGCGGGTTCCAGTTTGACTGCCGACCTTTCCGTTTCTGAACTGGTGAAACCTCCTCTGGTTCCTCCATAGTGCTACCATCCACCTCGGATTTGTCAGAAATGCTCGTAGGTGTAGAGGATTTTGATGTGTGACTTCCTGTCAGGTTTTTCAGCATATCAGATATATCTGACAAGGCATTCTCGCGTAACGGAGAGTTTGACATGAATGACACGACTGCAGATGTCTTTGCCGTTGTCACTGTGGATGAAGAGGATGTTGACGATGGGGATGTGGATGACAAAAGCACTGAACCCAAAGAACCACTTTTGTCACTCTTGGCTTTCGTCAAATCAATGGGCTGGTCACTGCTGACATGATAGAAATAACGGTCCAAGGGCTCTGTTTTTTTGGACTGAAAAGGTGGCGTGGCCACCGCAGCCTTTTCTGCCAGGCTGTTACTCATTTTGTAAAGCATGCTCATGGGGTCTAGGGTGGGAAGAGCAGGCTTAGCTGCCTTCCCTAAGTGAACATTCATAACGGATTGCAATGCACTTAATGGGTTTACAAAAGGTTGCTCAGGAGGGTGGTCAGTGATGATGGCTGTGCTGGTACACATACTATTCGCTGAGAGTTTTAAGGCCTCTGTACCATTCTCCAGAGGATCCTTGGTTGGACTCTGTTTAGTGCTCTCCTTCTGACTGCTGCATATAATTTCGTGGCTTTTTGGGCTCGGATCCTTTGGAGCCTCACTTTTCAGCGCATCTCCTGCTCCGTTGCCACATGGGGATGGAGTCCTGCGCTTCACTGAGCAGGTCATCCTCTCTGGTTCTTTTATCTTTTCTTCAGTTTTGGCTACCTTCTCTGTGACCTTCTTCACCAGCTCTTCCATAGCGTGGAAATTGTTTTTTGGTACAGGGGAGTTCTGGCTACTGGGTGGCGATATTATGGGCTGGCTCTTTGGAGATGCCATAATGTCACTGTTGTGAAATGCTGATTTCAATTGCGTGGCCTTCCCTGATAAACCAAACGGTAACTTCATTATATTGGGAAGCTGATAAGCTGCGTGAATGCTGGGATAACCACTCCAGCTCGGAGTGCCATTCTGAGCTTTGTTAATAGCAGAGGTCACTGTATTCTCTAAAGACTTCAGAATGTCCAGGCCTCCCTTCGGGTTTTCCTCCAGATCTTCCTCAGTCAGATACTGATACTTTGAGGAAATGTCGTATTTTTCCTCATCTTCACAGTTTTTATCTTTTTCTTTCACTCTATCTTCATGGCTCTCAATGTCCTTTTCCACCTCCCTCTTTATTTCGACGTTCAGTTTTGGAGAGATGCTGGCCGGGGTATTTAGCGACGGGGCGAAGCTGCTTGCGGCGAGCGGGACGGACTGCACTTTATCCTCGATCATAGCGGTCCCCGGGGTCACCAAGGGGGGCTGCGGCGGGTCGACCATCTGCTTCCCCTTCTTGATCGCGGAATTGGTCACTTTGACGAAATGGCCCGTAACCATCATGTGGGCAGTCAGCTCCTGTAGGGTGTCGTGGGAGCTCCCGCACTCCATGCACTTGAGGATCTGAGATTTCCTCGCCTCGAACTGCCAGGCGTAGCTGGCGCCATTCTGGTGCCCATAACGGTTATTTGGTGTGACGTAGGGGTTTGAGGACTTCTGTAGCGGATCGCTGGCATCAGATAAAGATGTCTTTGGAGTTCCGCCTGTGGAATCGGGTGAACTCGGGAGATCAAGCTCAAGCAGTGCCCTCTTCTTGGTGGAAGGGAGGACCTTTGCGGAGATTGGTGTTACGGGTTCTTTCAGAGGCACTTTCTGATAGTGTTTTGTTTTTATCATGTGAACGCTGAGGTCCTGAAGGGACTCGAATGAATGGCCGCAGTACATGCACTTGAGCACTTTCTGGGCATCCTCCTTCCCTTCCATCTCTAGCAATGAGCGTTTGCGAGGCTTCGACCACTTCTTGGGGTTGTTGTTGTCGGTCTCGATGTTCTCGTCTCGATAGTGTCCCGTTTCGTTCATGTGCACGGTCAGTTCCACCAGGCTGTCATACGCGGCGCTGCAGTCCTTACAGCGGAACTTGCTGGCCCCAGTGAATATGGAACCGTACAGCTTACTGCTTTGCCTGTACAACTGTACCGTGCTGAAGAGACTGGGCTCTGGATTGAGTCTGGTCTGGGACACCTGCTGCAAGGTCTTTGACATTGCTGACTGATGCCAGTCAAAGCTCCCGCTCCCACAACTGCTGCTGGTGCTGCTGCTGCTGCTGCTACTACTATGGCCATTTGTCGCAGGCCCACTCGGCTGGTTGAGCCCTAAACTTAAGGATGACCAATAGGAGTTTGAAAGGATATTGTTGTATATTGCTTTCATTTGTTCTAAGCTGTCCTGCACTATTGTTTCTTCGGTCGCCGCAGGAACCTCCTTGCTCTCGTCCTCGTTTTTTATGGAGCTGCTCTCGAAGTCAGCCATTCGATCACTGGTTTCACTAATGTGAGACTCGCTGTCCATCTCCTGGCCAGAAAACTCAGCTGCGGGGGAGTTCTGATAGCTCTGAGGTTCCCGGCTAAATTCCTTCTCATTGCACACGTACTTGGAGGATGACTCTCCATCAACCGCAGACTCATCAGCCTCAACATCATCGTCCACTAACGCTGCTGCCTTCAGCTCGTCTGAAACATAGGCTATAAGGGAGGGGGGGGGGAGGAAAGGGAAAACGAGAGAACAGTTTTAAGATAATTGCAACTGGTACAGATTGAAATTAAATACAAGAAAACCATCATAGCTGGTAACATCTGCCGCAAAGTTAGATAGTTAAAACGTAGTGTTTCTTAGGTGTATAAAATCGACTCTTCAAACGCAATTTGCCACCTTATTCTTCTCAAGGGGCAACAGCTTGAAATTAAAACTAAATTTGAAATTAATGAAGCAAATTCTGGAGGTGGCATTCATTTCTAAAGTAATAAATTACACGTATCAACCTCAGAGACAGCAGTTCCTGTCTGTCAATTAATATGTCTTATGCTTCTTCTACCTCTAATGCATTTCCAAGCACACTCGCAATTTAAATTATGCAACCATCAAAAAAANTCTCTGCTCCAGTATTTAGTAAATTAATTATTAATTCTAAATGCTATGTTTTTTTAGTATAAAATCCTCAAAATGGATTGATTTGAGGCCCTTTTGCCCTCGGACCCCCTACATTTGCTGATGATTCAGCGACTCTCCAAGTTTATCTTTCTATACTTCAAAAATTCTGTTCTGGAAGAACAGATGGTTGAAAAATTCTGTAGTGACTAATCACTGCTACATACAGGTTTATGGAAGAATGTTACTTTCGACCCACTGACATTTAAGTGTGCATCATTTTAATCAGACTTTCACTCTGTCAAAACAGTGAAATGCATGCATGCCTGCAGATGTCAGAAATGGGTTTCGAAAAAAGCTTTTGGAAAATATGACAATAACAAGATTGCCAAGTTTTTGGAAAAGATTTGATGTTTTCATGCTGCAGTAATTTTCTTTGAATAAATTTATAAAATGCTGTTGAAAACCCAGGAGAGGCCGAGGTATATGAAAATATATACTGTTTATATTGCCTATTTTTCACACTCATGTTTGGATTTTATTTTCCACCATTAGCGGTGATAGCACAACACTCGGAGCGTTGCTGAATGCAAAATCATTGACGGTAAAAGACCAATCTCATTGTGTAATTAGTTCAACAAAACTGTATCGCCTCATTTGAATTAAACAAATCTCTGCTTTTCACTGGCAAACCAGCCAGGGGAAGGCAGTCTCCTGATTTGCAGACTTTTTTGACAAAAAAAAGTGTGTGCCACCGAAATGATATTATCTAATTTAAACTAGCAGAACGCACAATGTAAAAGAAGACCTTGATTAATCACTGCAAATACCAGTTATGCACACAAAGCGGGCAATGTCAAACCCTCCTGCTCAGAAATCAAGACAGTAACATTTTCTGTTCTGTTACAATTTTTTCCATGAAGTTTTAACTCGACAAGCCAACAGTAATGCATTAGGACATTGCCAAAGGTATTGTTTTGATGCACCATTAATGATCAGGCCACAGAGCTGTCGCACACCATGGCCAATAATAAAATCAAACATTTAAAGGTTTTTCCAACAGTTGACGACTGGGAAGAGCAATTAAGATGGAAAGAACCAACTAATGCAGATATTTTCAGAACGTAACTCCTGATCGTTATCAAAACATGGCCTGTAATGTGGCTAAAGGCACTAACAACTATACTATGCAGTACAACAATTTATATTTGGATCATGCATTTCATGTGATGACGTCTCAAAGCGCTTCATAAAACGAGCCGGGCTGGGTGACAGAAAGCCAGTGAAAAAGGTCATAAAGCAGGCTTTAAAGGTGGGATGTGGTGTAGGGACGCGATGATGGGTGTTCCAGAGAGTGAGGGCAGAATGGCTGAAAACATGCTCACAGTGTCAACATGAGTGGTGGGGTGGATGGGGTGGGGGACATGAAGCAAGCTGGTGTAAGGTTCAGTTGCAAAAAAAATTACTATGAAGAATAGCTGGTCTAATTTATTCAGCATGGAATGTTTAATTCTATGGCAGGGAGAAGCCTGTGTGTCTCAGATCATGGGATCTCATCTGTGGATTGTAGTGACTCAGTGTTTGAATGATGTGCTTTGTAATGTGAAGAATGATATTCTGAAGTTTTACTAGCTATCTTAGGACACTAGGGTGAAACATCACTGCTCTTTTCCTGATAGTTTTTATCCTTCCTTCCCCCTGTGGAGATTAAATAACTTGGGCGTATTCCATGATAACACAAACAGTACATGGGCTGTGGAAGGAATGAGCTCAATTTGCTAAATGGCCTTTTCTCGGTTTATATTTTTTTCATATCGTTGAAGCCGTCACACAGAGGGAGAAAAGGCGACCTTATTGCACTAAAATTGGCCCTGTATCAGACTTTATTGACAGGCAAGCCATTTAATCGGCTATTTTTAAAATTTATATTTTCTTCTTTTCTTTCCAAGAGAATTGCTCATCACCACAAGTTCTCCTCCAGCTGGGACAGGGCGATTTGGGCCGTGTCCTTATTGGCCGTCAATCCTATTACATATCAGCTCCGTAGAGCTGTGATCTGGCACCGGGAGGTGCAATTCAAACAGGGTGACATAGTTCTGTCACTCTCTTCTTCTCTCCAATATACAAGACCACATATGGAGGTGACTTTAGTGGCTAGTTTGAAGGCATAGAATAGTAGCCAACCATTGGCAAGGAAGTTCAAGTACTTGGCTGCCAAGGGATTCAATCTTGCATCTTTCAACATAGTATTGAAGCGAACCAAATGCCTGCTCACTGTGCTATTCACCTGCTTATGTTGTAAAAACCCTACTGAGATTTGAAGGGTGTTGGGATTTGACGTCAGAATATTACTCACTAACATCTGGAAATGAATCATCCATCCCAAAAGGTCTCATCTCTTTGACAGCTATGAGCCACTCTAGTCTCAAACCATATCAAAGTGGACAAATCTACACAGAACAAAACCACTCCTATTCAGCAAGCTTACTCATTGACCAGAGCCAGACTTTGTGTGGGTAATGGGCGTTACAATCCAGACAAATGAGTGTAGTGATTTCCTGAAGCTGACCTTGATTATTCATTTTTTTTGCATGTCATTCAACTAACCCAATGAGCCCTCAAACCTCCATGACACTGATGCTCCAGTGCAGGGCTACGCGAGTGCTGCATTGTTGGAGATGCCGTCCTTCAGATAAGATAGCAAACTGAGGTCCTGTTTGAAAAGAGAAGGGAGCTTCTCCTGGTGTCTTGGCCAATTATCCCCCAGATAAAAATGGTCATTTACTTCATGACTGTTCGTGGGACACACCGTGTTTGCCTACACAACACACAGGATACCAGCACACGATTTCACCCACACAATGTACAGTCAATTCACATTATAATACATTCTGTGAACCGCTTTGAGGTGTTTCAATGACGTGACAAGGTGCTATAACAAATGCAAGAATTATTATTAATATTATTACACTGGGGAAAGCTGCTATCATTTACATGCGGGCAAGCTATCAGCAACTTTGTAATTTTTTGCATGTCTGTCACGGGAGGGGAAAAGTGAGCCTATTTCTGTTAGCTGCAGGAGGAAGGATTATTGTACGCTCTGTAAAGAAACTGATTATATGATCAAAAACTATCCAAGGAATTGTGGATTTGCCATTCCAGATTATTAAAATTATATGGTGCCCGAGGGGAGGATGTCCCACAACCCCTTGCTGAGGTTTGACCCTAAACTTTTCAGAACATATGAATTCCGAGGGCTGAGTGAATACATCAATTTTACTGCCTAATAAATTGTGATGCACGTTTTAAATTTTCCTGCTATTTGTCTCTCAGAATTGTGAATGAAATCTACATTATGCAATTAATAATTGCCCTGGCACAAGGTTTCAATGAAAGGTTTGAATTCAGATTAAAAAAATAAACAAATATTGATGCACTCTCTCTTTGTACAGTGCTGCACTTGTGATGATATACAACCCTGGCGGCTTTCAGACCAAAGTCGCCAAGTGATCATTTGAGTACTTCTTACTGCAGAAGCTCTTATGGAAAAAAAATCTAAACATAAACACCCGGAAAACACACAGGCTCCTGCTAACGGGATAATAAAGCTTTCTAACGGTAGGACAAGTAGCCAACAAGACAATAAAACAATTCACAGGCGGAATGTAGGGTTTTGGAAAATGCTTCCGTTGTGGGAAGGCCTTTTTAACGAAGAACAGTCTGAAGATCACTGACTGTGGCCTTGAAATGGATTTCAATGGAACCCAGACACTTCTGCACGAAGCATAGCCTCTTCAACTACTGAGGGGCTCATTTACGGATCAGATCGCTCACTTTCATTTTCTGTCATACCATACATGCAACAAAGGAAAACAACTTTATATTTCCAATGAAAAATATTCTGAAAACTAAAAGTCTAAGTAATGTGGAGAGGGTTTTGTTTTCTAAGCTGCCACTGTTCAATTAAAGAAAAACTAGAAAAATATTAAAGCCCTGATGCGGTCATTAATCCATTTCACAAATGCTGCGGCAGTGCTCGCTGGATTAAAAGTGAACATCTTCCACTGTATTGTCTTTAACAATATTCATTGCCCTCTGAACAACAAATCTTCCTTATCCTAAGAATTCTCTTTTCCCCTGTGTGGTTTGTAAGATTTTGCTTTTCTTAAAAAATGATGAGCTAATCTCCTCGGAACATTATTCACACAGTCATCTGCGTGTACAATGCACTGAATGCCCACATCTACCAGAAGCCGGGTTTAGTTGTTCGGTGTGTATCAGCATGAAGTAATTCACTGATTTCAAGGAACAAAACAGAGCGACTCTACTTCCACTAATGGTTTAAATCATTTTGTTGAACCAAGCATGGAATCAAATATTTTACTCAGTAGAATTCTGCTTTTCACGATTGACAAACTAATCACCGGGTTGCTAGGATACAGAAATTCTGAATACCATTGTCATGGTTAAAAATTAGTATGATTATTGAGTTAGCATATTTTTACATAACCCATAACATTTTTTTTCCAGAGTGTGAAAAATAAAACTACAGACCATGCCTAATGATAGAAACTACAGTCTAATTTGTTTTTCTGTT